TGTGATTGGTCAAATTCTTACTCTTATTTCTTACTCCGTGTATTGTAGACGACGCATCAGACTTTCTAAAAGACCCTTTATAAAAATCTTGTTTTTTTTTTAGCTGAACTTCTTCCATTCGTCTCTTCTTTTTTTTCATTCTGCAGAGAAGAAGAGAAAAAATAAATCGTACAAGAAATTCAGCTCGTTCAGTTGAAGAGTTGAAAGGAACAAATCTTTTATGTTGGCAGTAATGCAACAATTCGGACCAGCTGTTATCGCTGTGACGTTATGTTTTAAAAGCACAATACAGACTCTCCCCCCGTCGTTACTTCAGCAGGAAATGGGGAATTACCCCGATGTCGCCTTATTCCGCCGTAATATAACGGCTCCTGCAAATGTTAGCGTGGAATAGCGCAGAAAATACTTGTTACTTTTTATCGAGGGAAACCGAAGCCGGTATGAGCGTATCTGGAGCATACTTTTAGTCTCGTAGACAAAATGTGTGGACTACCTAACCTCGTATTCACGGCGAGTGAATATACACGTTCTTGGTAGGGTAGGCGATAAAACTTCGCTGAGAAAATCAGCAGAGTGCAAAACGTTAGGAACGACACGGTCGCAGAGTGTGAAACGCTTGTCGCCTCAATTCGAACGACAAATTCTCCATCGTCCGACGTGTTACACGATGAACGTCGAGAACGTGGAGAACGATACCTTTGGATCGTACTGTGCGCTGTTGGTCGCCTTCAAGACCATGAAGGAACGTTGCCAACAATTGCAGACACGATTGGCGACAGTAGAGGAAGAGAATATGTGTCTTAGGCTCGAATGTGGCAGGGACGTTACTACAACTGTTGTCAAGGTTGACAAAAGTGACAAATCTGCGCTGCAAACTCTACAGGTTCGTCAAGTCAATGGCTACGTTCAACAGAGAATACAGCTTTGCAATTGTTATAAAATCCTTTAATATCGGTTTAGATCCAGTGAGGAACTTAAAGGCAAGATCGGTCATACTAAAGAATTTTACAACAATTGTAGAGCTGGTTTCTCTACCGAACGCAGCCAGTGACATTTAGAATATTTATTTTGCAACCGTTGGAAGTTTTCTTTACTTATATGGGACTATTTCTCTAAATTTAAAAGTATAATCCAATCAATACAAAACATTTGTTAAGAGTTGACTTGCTGAATGTAACTGTTAAGGATCAATTAGATAACAAACAACTGAAGATCTTACCCTTCAAATTGTGCTACAATACTCGAGGCACAATTGTGAAAGAGATTTATCGTCAAGAATTTTAGAATCTCTGAAAGTGGCCTTTTTTCTATTCTTTTTCAAGTATTCTCTTCTATTTTGCCACGAGATTTGTTTCTTTTACTTGTTTAGCTATACAATTGAGAACAATACAATAAACATAAGAAACATTAATATTGTTCAAAGTAGAGTAAGTTTTGCATATTTATTTCCTTCAGTAACATGAAACAAAATAAGAGGTATAAAAATGAAAGAATAAAGATTTTTCATTATTTCACATTTGCATTTGTAATATTTATATACACTTAAGATACAGTCAATGTAGTGTTACAAATGCTTTGAAGCATTTTTTAAATTGGTTAATTGGTAAAATTGTGATTGGTGGTCAATTAAATGCTTCAAAACATAGTAAGTTTTTGACTGCATCCTTAATGATACAAATAATACATTTTTGAATTGTAGGAAAAGATAGAGGAACTTACAAAACAAAAGTCCCAGCTGTCTCATCACATTTTCATGGTAGCCGCGGAAAATCGTCAATTATGGAATAGGTTAACAAGATTGACTAAAACTAATAAATCATTAGGTAGCCAGTTAACAAAGATCTCGGATACACTTAAACAGCATCCTGCTACACAGCCGTCTGACATTATTTCGTACAACTTTCACGATGTGGCTAATTTAGATAAACAGGATGCTAAGACGTATTTACTAACTACAGATGGTTGGTATCGACTTGAAATCAAATATACAGCACTCAATTTCTTGTCATAAAATAAACAGTTTTCGTTGTTGCAGGTGAAAAAGAGCAAAGCCTGGAAGAAATATCTCTTCGATTAATAAATAGTATTATGTTAGAAAAGTCAGATCTCGAACAGCAATGTGCAGAGGTAAAGAAGTAAAAATATTATAATCATTTAATCATATTTTATGCAATGTTCGTCGTTTCATGCAGATGATGGAGTTAAACAATTCCGAATTAAATTTACAAAACGTTGGTTTCACATATCCAGAAGATTCTGACACAGATTCATTAGAGCAACTGAAACAGCACGAAATTCGATTATCTCAAACTAAGGATGCCTTACTTGGGCAACAAACTAGATTAAAGAGGGCCTTACAGAATCTTAAAAAAATGAGGAAAGGTAAGACTCAATCAAGTGTAGTCAATTTAATCAATTATTTTTTTGTGGCATATATTGACATTAGAAACTCTATAACAGTTTGGCCACGAATGATTTTGTGTCAAAATCCTCAAAAGAGAAAGATATATATACACTTTTTCCTTGATATATATTGTCTTACTTTAACTTATACTAACTTATATACTTTAATATATACTTCTCGGTCTATAATTTTAATTGAGATTAGAGTGAACAGTATAAGTTGGAGTGAGATAGTATATATATACAGGGAGAAAGTATATCTTCTCTTTCTCATACGATTTTGATAGAATGCTTATGACTAGACTCTAGTTGACACTATGAAAGACCTGTAGAAATTCATCAATTTCAAAACTAATGTATATTTTCAGGAATGATATGTAATAATTGTCAAAAAAATGCAAATAAAAAGATGTGCCAAACAGGTACACAATTTGATTCCGATGATAGTTTCAAAGAACATCGAGCTACTCAGACTAGTCCCACATCTCCGAGTCTTTCTATGGAAAAATGTCCTAATCTGAACGATAATATAGATGTTGACATCAATACATGCCCATTGTGCGGAATGGTTTACGAAAAGTCCATACCATTTGTGGAATTCCATGAACATGTCTTAAGCCATTTTGCCAAGGAAATGTCTACAGAGGATTTTGAACTTGTACATTGATTTCAGCATCAAAATTAGTGATGAATCATTCACACGAAATTATTTTCAGATTTCAACATATATAAGGAAATTTATGGCGATTGAGAATACGAAATATTGAAATAGACAAAAGAAGCTCAATGTACAATAGTATAATTTATATAAACAAGACAATATTGTAAGTTGCAAAAGTATTTATTTTTATATCAATAAACACAATCACAAAATGAAAATGAAATATTTTTCATCGCAAAAAGGATACTAGAAAAAAATGAATATGTAATAAAATGAATATTTTTTAATTTCCAAAAATCCCAGATATCCCTTTCTTAATGGATGTATCCTTTACATTTATAATCTATCTAGCTTTTGACTATAAAAGATTAAATCTGATTTCAAATATACTTTATGAAAGATTGGTAGGTTTAACATTCTTTCTATCTGATGGTTCCTGTGATGTTGGTTCCAGCAAATTCCGGTGAAACCATGAAGGCCTTTTCTTTGGCATCTCGATTATTCTTTGTTTCTAAAATTAAACATATATTAAACTCACATTTAACAAGTAAGCAAAATTAAATTCTATTCCTGTATTCAGAATGCGCTTACAACGATGTTAACGCGCTAACATACTATACTTTACATCACGCATATTATAGAATTTTAGAGATAAAAGCACGTTTTTATTAATAAAAGCGCGTTCTGAATACAGGCCTATATTGATAAAGCATATATTATTAATACCTTCCAAAAATGATCTGTTTTAGAATCCTTTTCTCCATCATATAATACAATTACATCCTGTTCTACCAAACTTAGACCTAATTTCTTTTGAATAGCATTTTGTATTTCTTTAGTTTCGAGTTTTACTTTTTCATAACAATGTCCTATATAACAAACAGATACATATAAATCATTGCAAATTTTCTTTACACATTTTTATATTCAAAAATATATAGAAAAATACTTTTTATAATAATTTTTCATAATCTATAACAGGTCTGTCCAATTTGAGCTCTGGAGTCAAAACTCAAAGCCATCGACCCAAAAAAATTCAATATGAGATTTCAGGGTCTGTAAAATGTTGATAAGCGTCACTCAGATGCATATCAATACCTTACATTCCCTGAAATCTTACCTACATTGAATTTTTTGCATCGATGGCTTCGCATTTTGGCTCCGGAGTTCAAATTAGACAGGCCTGATCTATAATATCTTATTAGATGATATTTACCACATAAACGGCCAGCTTCATAATGATGACCACAATTCACACACGATAATAAATTAGTTTTTGCAATAGGTGGCTTCCATAGATATTTCGGTTGTCCAAATCTTCTCTTATATCTTGTTTCCAGACTACGTCTTTTTTTTGGAACCGCCCATAAAAAGCCATTGTCAAAAATTTCTTTTAGACTGCTGAGACGATTTCCAGATTTCGGTTCACTCAAGAAACCGTTGCAATCGACTGCACATAGTGATCCTATAACAGAAAATTGAGCTTTTTAAATTTCAATAAGTGTTCAACAAAATTTATTCCATTAGCGTGTTACTAAAATTTTGTATATCTGCACGTAAAGCTGATTTTTTTGTAATTTTAGTTAAGGTTAGGAAATATAAAAAATAATAAAAGGTAACTTATTTATATTAACTTTTAAAATTTAATTATTAAGAGAATATATTTATGTATTAATTTTCAATTACCTGGAGGAAAACCGCGACCAAAAATAATCTGAATTGCTTGTTCAAATTTTTGAATAGCTAAACTTAACCTATTCATCGTGCCAAAAACTATTGTACTTGCGCCTCGCAGACAGAAAATTACGAATTCGACATCTCCGTCCTGTTTACACAGGGTGCTTTCCATTGGCTGCGTTCAGCAGACTCAACAGTTTTGCAACCGTTTTATGATTGGCTGCGTTCAGCAGAACGTTTGTTTTGCAACTGTTGGAAGTTTCCTTCGCGCTAATTGGATCATACTTTTAGATCTAGAAGAATGGTCCTATCTCAGCAGACAGGGCCTTAAGGGCCCTGGTACATAAAAAACTTAAGGCAGTAAAACGTAAGCAGTAATGCTGGATTCACACTGCATTCGATTTTCGTCGTACG